GGGGGGAGAGAGAAATTAGGAGGGGGGGGAAGAGATATTAGGAGGAGGGAGAGATATTAGGAGGGGGGAAAGAGAAATTAGGGGGGGAGAGAAATTGAAATTAGGAGGGGGTGAGAGAAATTGAAATTAGGAGGGGGAAAGAGAAATTAGGAGGGTGGGTGAGAAAGAGAAATTGGGAGGAGGAGAAGGAAATTGGAGCGGGAGGAGAGATTGACATTCATCACATACACACAATGCACCCCTTGCACACAGAAAAACACACAATGCATTACACACACAGACACACATACACAAGCAATGCAACCGTTACACACAATGCATCCCTTACACACACAGAAACACACAATGCATTCATTACACACACTCAATGCACCCCTTACACACATTCAATGCATCCCATACATACACAGAAACACACCTTGCAGCCCTTACACATACAAACACAATTTCACACAATGCATTCCTTACACACATATCAGGACATCCCCTACACACTCCACCCCCTGTGAACAAACTCATTGGTGGAACATGAAGGTGGACCCTGGGACCCAGACCTTGAGCTGTGTAAAGGACCCCCAAAAAATGGAGCTGCTTCCCGTTCTCCCAGAACATTGATTTTTGTGACCACAGTTACAAACCGCCTCCAGAGAGCCTGTTCTGCACCAGACCAGTGGAGCCAGACTGCAGCTAGAGCCCATCATCATCCTCATCTGGTTGAAGTAGGCAATCTAGTATATTATTGTGGCACTAAGCTCTAATTTACCTCACATTAAAGAAACACTATAGTCCCCAGAACCACTTCAGCTTAATGTAGTGGTTCTGGTGTCTATAGCCTGTCCCTGCAGGCCTTTTAATGTAAACACGGCGGCACTGCAGCACTGGCGTTAGTTAACATGGCAAATCATATGGGTGGGGCATTGTGATGTCACATGGGGGGGGGCGGCAAACTTTACTTTTGCCTAGGGCGGCAAAAATCCTTGCACCGGCCCTGGCTGGAGGGGGCTGTGTGAGCTGTGGCCGCACAGTGTCCCATGGTAGTTAGGGTGCCGTGCGGCCAGTACAGCTCACACAAGCAAACAGCTGATAAACTGGCTGCACGGAGGAAATGTGTATGTGTGACTGTCTGCCTGTGACTGTATGTGACTGTCTGCCTGTGACTGTATGTGACTGTCTGCCTGTAACTGAGTGTGTGACTGCCTGTAACTGAGTGTGTGACTGCCTGCCTGTAAATCTGTGTGTGGGGCTGCAGGGAATTTGTAGAAGGGGGCGGGGGTTTTGTATTGGGACAGGAGTCTTTACAATTTTTTTGGGGGGGGGGGGTGCCAAGCACAGGATCCGCCCCGGGTGCCAAATGCTCTAGGTACGCCCCTGAATTCAGGGCATATCTACTCCAAAGGGCGAACAGAAACTGGCATCGTTTGGGAACGATATTCTCCTGTACCTCACAAAACCAGAGCACTCCATCCCACAGCTGCAAAAGCTCCTTGCCACATACAGCGAAGTATCCTTCTACAAAAACAACACTGCAAAAACACAAGCTCTCCCTATTCTAATACCGCACACCCTCACAGCATAACTTAAGTGCACATATACATTCGACTGGAGGAAAAAGTCGCTCTCTTACTTAGGGATTAAACTCACTAAATCAATAAGCATACTACAAAAAGAAAACCATATTCCTCTGATTCAGAAACTCACAACACAATTAACATCATGGGAAGACCTAGAGGTTTCCTGGATAGGCCACATCAACTCAATTAAGATGATGATTCTCCCGCACATACTTTACCTGTTCAGAACTATCCCCATAACCTTGCCAGCCCGCCTCCTTAACAGGCTCCAATCTGTTATAAACGCGCACGTCTGGAAACGGAAAGCCCCGCGAATTAAAAACAAGACTTTAGGCCTCCACTTCACTAGAGGTCTGGGCCTCCCCGATGTTCGGTTCTACTACCAGGCCTCCTTATTAGCTCAAGGTCTAAGACTACTCAGAGCTTCCAAGAAAGAACCAACCCCAATCTGGCTCTCCTTTGAAGATGCCTGCATTCACCCGGCACAAATAACCCAAGCTCTGTGGGTGGGTGGGCGCCCCGACCCTCATTAAAAAGCCAATCCTACAATGCACAATTACACTTCTACAGGCCTGGAGAAACTGGGCCTCAAATATATTAGACCCAAAGGAACTGCTAAGGTTGCCTCCAGTCACAGCACTACAGAGCCACTCCCCGAATCTAGAAGTCCATAAGTGGCTGGCAAAAGGTATCCTGAGGGTAGAAAATCTTTGACAAAAGTGTACTAAAACCATTCCCAGTTTTACAGGCAGAATTCTCCCTCCCCTCCCGAGACCTATTCCTATACCTAAGGGTCAAGAACATCTTACAGGCCAATACACAAGCCAAGGAGACCACTTACAGCCCACAACACCTGTTGAACGCCCGCCACATCAAGCCTCTTGCACTATGCTACAATGTATATATTAAAGTCTCTGGGTACATAATAAGCATCCCCTATAAGTGCATATACTCAAACAGGGTTATTCACTAAAGTGAGAATTGTCAGATATTCTGAGTGAATTTTAAATTAAAGGGACACTCCAGACTCCTAAAGCACTTTAGCTTGCTAAAAAGCCTTGTGTGTGAATAGTGCAGGGCCGGACTGGCCCACCGGGATACCGCTGGGGAGGTCTTCTGGCGGCCGCTGGGGGACTTGTGCTTGCGGCCGCTGGGGGAGCTGCGCTGGCTCTGCTCCCCAGCGCACAGCTGAATGCGACATATGTCAATGACGTCATATTCCGGCACCGGTCTCATTCAGCAGCGCGCGAGGGCAGGAGAGCAGAGCCAGGGAAGCTCCCCCAGTACAAGTCCCCCAGCGGCCAGCAGAAGACCTCCCCAGCGGCCTCCAGAAGACCTCCCCCTGGCAGGTATTAGTAATGTGTCAGTGTGAGTGTGTCTGTTATGGTGGTGGGGGGTCTGTCTGTTATGGGGGGTGCGCGCGTCCACGTCATGAGGGGTGTGCGCGTGTCTGTCTGTGTCATTTTATATTAGAAAAAGCAAAATATATATATATATATATATATATATATATATATATATATATATATATATATATATATATATATATATATATATATATATCTCAATCATCTGTCATGGCAAGACATAGCCTTACATATTACACGTGACAATATATGGCGCAGTGACTTATGGGGCTGGCACAAATTTTTTTTCCAGGGCTGCTTTGTATCCCCAGTCCAGCAATAGTGTCCCTTTTTTTTTTAAACTTTCAGACGCCCGGTGTTCTGGTAAAACCCCTTAACCCGTACAAATTTCCTACCCTTGTTACATCTGGTGACATGGCTGCACTGGAAGAGAGTCCAGCTAAACAGGCCATCATAACCCCCCTAGTGGGCAGTCCTTCCCATTATAGGCATCAGTGACACAAAGGACATCACTGGCAATGTACCCCTCAGGGCCCGACCTGATTGGGAGGTATATCACTGGTCAGAAGCACTGCTCTCTTCCCCCCAAGCCCATGAACAATTTAACCCCTTCCCGACCACTGACTGTTCAGGACCGTTATCGGAAAAATCCCCTTGAGGACTGGTGACGGTCCTGAACCGTCATAACGGAAATCTTTACGCACCCGTTCCCCCGGTGTGGAGACTGCCTGCAGCCCAGGCATACTCCCCGCGGCGAATTAGGACCCTGCGGCCACATGATCGCTCAACAGAGCGGTCACAATAACTGTCCATGTATCTGCCTGCAGGGGGACTGTCTGTGCTGACAGGCAGTCTCCCTGCTGCTGAAAAAATAAAAAAATAAATAAATAAAAAAAATATATAATATTTTGATTTATTTATACATAGATGTATATATAATTTCATTCTAAGTGTATTTTGAGATATATATATATATATATATATATATATATATATATATATATATATATATATATATATATATATATATATATATCTCAAAATACACTTAGAATGAAATTATATATACATCTATGTATAAATAAATCAAAATATTATGAAATATATTTCCATATACAAAATTACATAAATAATTTCATAAACATACACTTCAAATATATAAACATGCATATATATTTAAACTCAACGTGCGTATTTATGTAATATTTTAACATAATTAAAGGACCACTATAGGCACCCAGACCACTTCAGCCTAATGAAGTGGTCTGGGTGCCTGGTCCAGCTAGGTTTAATCCTTTTTTCTATAAACATACCAGTTTCAGAGAAACTGCTATGCTTATAAATAGGCTAATCCAGCCTCTAGTGGCTGTCTCATTGACAGCCGCTAGGGGCGCTTGCGTGCTTCTCACTGGCTGAATGCGCGAGCGGCTCTTGCCGCGCATGCGCATTCAGCCAAAGAGGAGAGGAGGCGGAGAGGAGAAGGAGAGTCCCACGCCCGGCGCTGAAGAAAGAGGTACGTTTAACCCCTTCCACCCCCTAGAGCCCGGCGCGAGGGGGACCCTGTTGTTGGGGGCACCCTCAGGGCACTGTAGTGCCAGGAAAACGAGTATGTTTTCCTGGCACTATAGTGGTCCTTTAAGTAATTGTATTGATTGCTATTTGAGAGACCTGCCTGACCATCCAGGCCGAAAGTCCAGAGAATTTAATTTGCTAGCACTGTATTTAACCCTGTAACTTTCAATGACACCCTAAAACCTGTT